TGTTTTTTTACTCTTCCACCGCCAGCGTCAGCAGCAGCAACAGCCGCCGCTCGAGCACCATCCGACGCCGGGCTGCGTGCCGGCAACCGGGCTCGAGACAAGCTCTACGGGAGCCAATGGCCTCCCGTCCCGGGCCCGCTAACCGCATGTGGGCTGTATGCGCTGGCATTGCATAACGGGCCCTGCCCTGTCCGCCGCCCGTGGCCCATACATACATAGGTAGCTCGCGGGATTATGTTCTATCACTGCCTGCTGCGCGCTGCTCTCTGTCAGCTTTTCCTTCCTCTCGCTCTCGCGCTCCTGCTTTTGCGCCTGCTGCATTCGCGACAAGGTGCCTCCCACCGTCAATTGGGCGCGCAGCGGGCGCGCGGGGCGCGTCGCCTTCTTTTCTGCTTGATTAGTGCCGAGCAGCTTGGACCCAGGAAATCTTGCTACTGCTGCTATTCGCGACTATGGATGTCTTCGAGCTAATAGGATCCCTTATGCAAACCGCGCTCGCGCGCCCGTTGCGCCGCTCCCGCTGCTATCGCCTCGATCCTTCGACCAATGAAATTAAAAAAGATACAAGAAATACCGGAATACTAGAGAAGCAAGGAAAATCGAGCGCCCCCAAGTCTCATCCACTGTTTGCAAGACGGTGAAACAATCGCTTGCTAGTCCGCCTTGCATATGCTCTCCGCTAAAGTAAAGAAAGTAAAACCAATTAGGACACAAAGAGAAACCATAAGAGATATTCGGTCGGCCATTGCTAGCCTGCTTTCGTCTTTCCATCACTTCGTGTCTCGTTAACACATGTCGTATAAAGCTGACAGCCGTACTGATGGCAGCATAGAGCCAAACGCAAAGCCGCCAAGGAGCCAGCAAAGCACTCGCAAGATGCAACGTTAGCCAAGGCACATCGCTGGCAACCTCGATGGTTGCCACGCTATTTGCTCGAGCGCGCGATCAGCCACTGCAAAACGGCGTCCAAGTTGGTCTCTTCCTTGGCACTGATGCCGTAGCAGCTCACTTCGCGATGCGATACCGCCCGGAGATTCAGCGCCTCGATCAGTTCGTCGACCGATAGCTTGTCGGGTAGGTCCGACTTGTTGCCAAGCACAAGCAAGGGGATACCCTCCAACGCCGGCTTCTCCAACAGGATCTGGAGCTCCTCTCGCGCGACGGGTAACGCCTCTCTATCCGCCGAGTCCACGATAAATCTGCAGTCCGATAAGCTAAGCAGCACCCAGGGGCGACCGACGAGAAACCCTACACGATGGCGTTCACACCCCGACAGTAGCGCTCCCACATGGACCGAAACCTGGGCTGACCACCGAGGTCCCAACTGAGATGCGCAAATAAAATCAGCGAACACGATCCGGGTGCGATCCTCGGCCTCGACAATGCGATCGCGTCGGCTGGCGCTTTTGGCGATGGCACATGACGGTGCGTCGACTAAGGGGACATCCCTGCGAGTACATACCATTTCAGGGTCACATGGCCCTTTTGGACTCGCTTCATGTTGAACCCGACGGTTGGAATCGAGCTGGACACCCGAGATCGTTAGTCGTAATTCGCGCAGCGCATCGACGAGTGGGTTGCATTCCAGTCGCACGCATCCATCAAATGGGAGACGCACTCGATGGTAAACTCGCCACCCTGGTCACGTCAGTATCAAGCCATCCGCATCCAAAAAAGCATCTCGAGGTTGCACGGGACTGTCCCGAAAGGGTAGCTACTCACCGCCAGAACCCTCAGCAACGAGGTCTTGCCAGCGTTCTGCAGGCCGATCATGGTGATGTCCATCTCGGTGGCCCTGAGGCGGAGGACGGTGTCAGCGACGCGTTGCTTTGCGTGTGCGTTTCTTGGGGAGAGGGCAACGGAGGAAGGCAGCAAGGCAGCAAGGTAGTAAGGCAGCAAGGCCGGCCGCAAAGGCGAGCTGGGAAAACTAGGACGAGGCGGAGGAGTGCTAGGGCAATATCAGAAGGCGCAACTCACCAGAACAGGCGCAGCAGCCAATCATAGATGCGTCTGAAGAAGCCGGCCATGGTCGCTGGAGTGCAGTCGTCGAGTGAAGTCTTGTGGAAATGACAAGTCTGGGGTTGCCTGGGTGCGGGGCGGTTTTCTGCCTGCTGGGCCTCTACGATGACTGGGTAGCAAGGTAGGGAAACGAACGAGTAGAGAGTGCAGAAGCGCAAGGCCGGGGGAGCTTCAGCCTGTGATGTTGAGGCGCGAGGGTTTGGCGGCAGGCGGAGGAGAGGGCGTGATAAATTTCACGGTGCCACATGTGCACCAGAATGCCTGTTCCTTGCGGGGGGGAGGTGCTTCGGGAGATCAGTTATGGAAACCTCACGCTTGTCTTGTCGAGGTGCGCGGGTATCGGACGGCGGGCGGTAGGCGGTGGGCGGTCGACAGTGGACAGTGGAGCGTGGGCGGTGGGCCGTCACGCCGGCTGATAGGCCGGGACCGCGCTAAACTCTTGACATTTTTTTGAGAGACGTGCGATTTGAAGCTTGAACAGCAGCACCCTGTGATGCGAGGCCTGGCCTAGAAAGTTCCACCGCATCCTCCGCAGCCGTCACACGCCATGGCGCCCATCACCGCGCCCCGCGGCGCAAAGAAGCTCAAGACCGACACCACATGGTCCACCGAGTACGACACGGCGCGCAGGCACAAGCTCTTCGAGAAGCCGCCCACCGACAAGACCGCCTACCCGTCGCTCGCCGCCGCCATCCACCCTCATGTCCACTCCTTCAACGCCATCCTCGAAAAGGGCGGCATCCTCGAGCAGGGCCTGAAGGACATTGGCACCAAAACCTTCTTGGACGGCGACCCGAACAAGAAGCCCGAGGAGCGCACCACGCCCCGCAACCGCCTGCAGGTCCGCGTGCGCGAGGTCTTCCTCGACAAGGCCGTCCTGCCGCCCAGCAACAAGTTCTCCGTCTCCAATCGCAACATCCTTCCCTCCGAGTGCCGCGAGAGGCACGTCTCGTACAGAGGAAAGCTGAGGGCTCGCTTGGAATACCGCGTCAATGGAGGAGAGTGGCAGGAGTCGGTGCGCGAGTTGGGACAGGTGCCCATCATGCTTAGGGTGCGTTGAACAGTTCAGACTTCGTCGTGGGTACGGCATCGCTGACATTGCGCAAACAGACCAACCGCTGCCATCTGCAGAACATGACGCCGGCCGAGCTCGTCAACGCAAAGGAAGAGACGGAAGAGCTTGGTGGATACTTTGTTGTCAACGGTATCGAAAAGCTCATTCGTATGCTCATCGTGGGCCGGAGAAACTACCCAATGGCCATTATCCGTCCATCTTTCGTCAACCGTGGAGCTACATACACCAGATATGGTATTCAAATTCGTTCGGTACGGCCGGATCAGACCTCGCAGACGAACGTTCTGCACTACCTGAACGACGGAAACGTCACATTCCGGTTCTCCTGGAGAAAGAACGAATACCTCATCCCTGTCATGATGATCTTGAAGGCCCTGGTAGAGACAAACGATCGGGAAATCTTTGAAGGACTGGTCGGCGCTGCCGGCTCGAAGGGCCTAGAGGAGAAGCAGTTCGTCACTGACCGTGTTGAGCTGCTCTTGCGGACTTACAAGGCCTACTCCATTCACGGAAAGGCGAAGACGAGGGCGTACCTTGGTGGCAAGTTTAAGGTTGTCCTGGGAGTACCGGAGGATATTCCTGACGAGGACGCCGGTACCGAGTTCTTGCGGAGAATTGTACTGCCACACCTGGGAAGCTACGAAGTCACCGAAAGCCAAGACGCAGACAAGTTCAAGATGCTGCTGTTCATGATCCGGAAGTTGTATGCGCTAGTTGAAGGAGAATGCGCTGTCGACAACCCTGATGCTGTTCAGAACCAGGAGATCCTGCTTGGTGGCTTCCTTTACGGCATGATTCTCAAGGAAAAGATTGAAGATTGGCTGAACTCGATCCGCGCCGTGGCAAACGATTGGTCCAGGAGCCAAGGCTGGAAGGAATTCACCGACCCCGACTTTATGAGGGATTTTGTAGGCAAGATTGTCCGGAGAACGAATGAAAACCTGGGTGGTGCTATGGAATACTTCCTGTCGACTGGTAACCTGGTCAGTTCCTCCGGTCTTGACTTGCAACAAACCTCCGGTTACACTGTCGTTGCCGAGAAGATCAACTTCTACCGTTTCATCAGTCACTTCCGCATGGTTCACAGAGGTAGCTTCTTCGCAGAGCTGAAGACTACAACCGTCAGAAAACTGTTGCCGGAGAGTTGGGGTTTCCTCTGTCCAGTCCACACTCCTGATGGTAGCCCTTGCGGTCTGCTCAACCATCTTGCGCACAAGTGCCAGATTTCGACTGCGGATGTTGACGCCTCTGCCGTCCCTAAGCTTGTGGCACAGCTGGGCGTGCAGAGTAACTCGGCTGCCACGCTGGAGAAGAGCGTTGTCGTTCAGCTGGATGGTCGGATTCTGGGCTTCTGCTCACCTAAGCAAGCTAAGGTTATCCACGACACTTTGAGATACTGGAAGGTCGAGGGTACCCACAATGTTCCAGTTGAGCTTGAAATCGGTTACATTCCGCGGTCTACCGGTGGCCAATACCCCGGTGTGTACATGTTCTCGCAATCCGCCAGAATGTACAGGCCAGTCAAGTACCTTCCTCTGGACAAGCTGGACTACGTTGGTCCCTTTGAGCAGCCGTTCATGTCTATCGCCTGTACCGAGCCCGAAATCGTCTCTGGAGACTCTACTCATGTCGAATTCGACCCTACCAACATCCTTTCCATTGTCGCCAACCAGACTCCCTTCTCCGATTTCAACCAGTCCCCACGTAACATGTACCAATGTCAGATGGGTAAGCAATCGATGGGTACTCCAGGTACAGCACTCAACTACCGTACGGACAACAAGGCCTACAGGCTGCAAACCGGCCAAACGCCAGTTGTGCGCCCCCCGCTTCACAACGAGTACGGTCTGGACAACTTTCCCAACGGTATGAACGCTGTCGTCGCTGTCATCTCCTACACCGGTTACGACATGGACGACGCTATGATTATGAACAAGTCTGCCCACGAGCGTGGCTTTGGTCATGGTACCATCTACAAGACCAAGAAGATTGAGCTCAATGAGGCCGCAAAGGGCCGTAACTCCAAGAAGGTCACTAGTCTGTTCGGTTTTGCTCCTGATGGCATCGTGAAGGCCGAGTGGCGTACGAAGCTCGACGATGATGGTCTGCCGCACGTCGGCACCATGATGCAAAAGGGCGACATCTTGTGTGCGTACCACTCAGTTACCTACGACTCTGTCACCGGCAAGTATATCAACCGCGATGGACAGACCCAATTCGACAAGTACAAGGACGACGAGCTTGGTTTCATTGAAGAGGTCCGCGTCATTGGCTCCGAGAATGGAAATGAGCCCTGCCAGGTGGTCAGCATCAAGATTCGCATTCCTCGTTCGCCAGTTATTGGTGACAAGTTCTCTTCTCGTCACGGACAGAAGGGTGTCATGTCTCAAAAGTGGCCTGCGACCGATATGCCTTTCAGCGAATCTGGCATGCAGCCCGATGTCATCATCAACCCGCACGCTTTCCCGTCCCGTATGACTATTGGTATGTTCGTCGAGTCTCTTGCCGGCAAGGCCGGTGCCCTGCACGGTCTGGCGCAGGAATCGACGCCCTTCCGTTTCGACGAGAAGAACACGGCTGTGGACTATTTCGGACACCAGCTCAAGAAGGCTGGATACAACTACTACGGCAACGAGCCCATGTACAGTGGCATCACGGGTCAGGAGCTGCACGCAGACATCTACATTGGTGTCGTCTACTACCAGCGTCTGCGTCACATGGTCAACGACAAGTACCAAGTACGGACGACGGGTCCGAACAACGCGGTCACGGGCCAGCCCATCAAGGGTCGTAAGAAGGGTGGTGGTATCCGTGTCGGAGAAATGGAGCGCGACGCGCTGCTGGCACACGGCACGGCCTTCCTGCTGCAGGACCGTCTGATGAATTGCTCGGACTACGCGCGCGCGTGGGTGTGCAAGACCTGCGGCTCGTTCCTGAGCACGGCGCCCACGGTCGCGCAGTACGGCCGCGGCAAGAAGGCCAGCGGCTTCACGCGCTGCAGACGCTGCGCCAAGCGTGCGGATGGCCACGAGGCCAAGAGCGAGGTCTGGGAGGATGGTGCGGGTATCCGCTGGACAGGCGGTGAGGACGTCGCCGTCGTCGCCGTACCCGGTGTGCTGCGCTACTTGGATGTCGAGCTTGCGTCTATGGGCATCAAGCTGCGCTTCAAGGTTGACCCGTAAGCGGAGACCGGGATGGACGTGAGTTGTGCGGTGTTTGTGTGGATCCAGATGTGTTGTGTTGGATCTTGCAAGACTGTGTTTGTTCCGCGGAGTCAGGGGTGGTAAAAATGTCGTTTTGGCTACAGTGGATGATTGCACCGCGGTGTTAGCATTGCAGGCGTTCTGTGGGTTTCTTTAGATATCTATCATTTTTCGGCAATTGTACCTTGTTTCGTGCTAGCTTTTTGCTCGAGTAATTTCGGACTGGTCTCTATCTGTATGGAGAAGAACGAAATCATAACACGCGTGAGTTTGTGGCTTTGTCGCGAGTAGCTGTTAATCATTTTTTTGCAGTTTTATCTTCTAACTCTATATTCCGGCATTATCCTTAGGGTTATATAGAATACATCCGTATTATTCCTATCTCGAATCCTCTAGACATAAACATGCTCAAACAGGGAACTGTTTTGCACCAGTTCGTAGCTGAGCCTACCGTCGTACATAAAACTCCCAAAAAGGAGATGATGCTACAGCCTTATTCATCTCACGCACTTGGAAGGTAAGTAGGATGCCGAAATTTCCTAGCGCCATGAGAGTCACTAAAAAACGACAGTGAAGCCAAAGGGTAGCACTAAGATAATAACATCTATGAACATGGGCTATACTTAGAAAGTGGGATGAAATTGAGCCACATTTACCAGTGTCGTGGAATTCACTTCAAAGAGCTTTAATAAAGCGGATGTTGAAGAAACCGATTTCTATGCGGAAACTAATAATTATCTATTTTAAAATTAAGCTATAGGTGTACAGAATAATGGCTTTTATATTTCCTAAGATCGAGTTTTACAGTTGTAAAAACATATGCCATATCGACCTTCAGGTAGAGCTATACGGATGCAAAAAAGAAGTCTTTATCTATCGTCAGTTCGAATCAGATAGTTATATAGGAACGATATTTATATACCTCCGGATTAAGCGATATATATAGAAATGACAGTTTTCCAGCTACCGTACGATGGACCTATATAGACATAAAAGTATAACCTAGATATGCTTTCGAATATTATTGTCCGACTAATTTAAATGGAGTGCTATCCGAAAAGCCAACCAACCACCGTAAATCTAGACAAATCACTAATGAAAGATCTAAGACGGACATTCTACCTCGGATATATAGAGCTATTCACTCAGGTAGCAACCAGCAAACACCCGCACGAACCATGAGCATCCAAGAGGAAAGCCATAACAAAAGTAAAAACCTCCACCCAACTATCCTCCACACAGTGCAACACCCAGCGCCCAGCACACACACGCACACCAACTGCACTACACAAACACAATGCACACACCCTCCCCCTTTGCCCTGCAGCTTCCACAACCCTCAAAATCTCCGCTTCCATCTCACACCTCCCCACCCCACCCCATTTCTCCACTTCATATACCACAACCGCACCCTATACAAGCACATACGACCATAGGTCACAGAATACAAGGCATCCCGTCCGCTCTGCCAAATTTAAGCTGTGAACCGGCTGATTAGTAGTTAGGTGGGTGACCACTAGCGAATCCCAGCTGTTGTATGTTTTTTGGTTTTTTGTCTTTTGATATCGCTCTTTTTGGAAGCAGCAGTAGCAGTAGCTCTCGTCCGTACGACACAGAAGTGCAGAAACGAGGGGTAGTTGTTTGCTTTTGTGGTGTTGCTGGACGGAACTCCTGTAATTTGTGTGATGCGTTGTGATGCCATGGAACAAGACGACATTATATATGGTTGTGGGTTTGTGGTGACTGACTAGTGCCGGCCGGGGAAGCGAAGATCTTGCTCGTATATTCGTGCACGTCCCTGTTTGACGTCAAGAGGTAAATGCGGGGCTCCAGGCTTCTCGAAACGTCTGTAGTGGAGCATTGTAAATATCGGGGCTCCAGGCAGCAAGAATAGTTGGCCGAACTCCGAACTCTAAACTAGGACAGACAGGACTTAGACAGCGTGACAGCAAGCAAAAGGCCGAGAAGGGGTATGCTTTCACCGGTAGAAGAGAGTAAATTCACGAACAGGATAGGCATGGTAGAAGGTATCGTAAGTAAAGAAGTAATTGTATTTCCAGTAGACGTTTGGCAACGGCGACAGCAATGTCAAAACCGTTTATGCCTAACCGAGGCGGTGAGAAGTTGCTAGAAACTATTGTGTAGGCATCTGTGTTCAGCCATTAAGTCATTTTCTCGCATGTCCCAACCTGTGCCAGTTGAATGTACCCGAAATTTCCCCCAACGCCGTGCCGTAGCCCATCGCTCAGTAGCGAGAAGGGTATCCATGTCCGTTTTGATATCCCGAACCGTATTCATAATCGAAGTCGAAAGCTTAATCATTACCACCCCGAAAGAATCCCCTTTGCAGACTGAGAGACCTAAACTCCGTTCTCAAGCAGACTTTCCCTCCTTAGATAATCCTTTCGCCCTTCTGGGGAGGCGGGCCAGGAGGAGGCGCATACACATCGTCGGCAGCGCGCTCAGGACCTGTATGGGCGGGAGGTGGTTGGTTGGGGACGGTACCCATCTCGAAGCCCGTCTGCTGCTGGCCGTAGTAACCGTTGGCAGGAGGCGTGTAGGGCGGAGCAGGCTGGCTGTACTGCGGGTTGTAGTAGGGCTGAGCGTTGTAACCGGGCGCGTTGGGAGGCGGGTGGTAGTTCTGGTTGCCGACGAACTGGGCTTCACCATGACCGTTGCGGGCGGCCCAGCCCGTGCCCCAGTAGGGCTGCTGGCCCATGCGGCGGCGACGGCGAGCAGTGAGGCATGAACAGAGCTGACAATAGTGTTAGCTTTGTTGGAAAATGCAGAGCGTGGACTTGAAGCGCAATGGAAAGAAGGGCACGGTGAGGTGACGCGACAATGAGAGGCGAAGACAAAGGCAGGGCAAAGGTGACTTACGATGAAGACCAGAAGGAAGGCTACGACGATTACGACGAGGACGACCCAGCGGACCCAATCATGCCACGGGCTGTAGTCGCAATACTCTTGGCCGTAGTTGTTTAGGTAGCAGCTGTGCAGCGTTAGCTCAGCTCAGATGCAGGCGGAAAGGACGTGCGTCGTGACGTCGGACGGTGTGGCGGGAGCTTACTCTCTCTTCTGAAGGACTGGCATGGTTGCAGTGAGCGGCTCGGAGATGTTACAGGCGGGAGTAGGACGAGGGTGAGCATCGATCAGAGGGAAGTTGAGCGAAGGAAGGGAGAAACGAAGGGACAACGGGTGTTGAAGTAGCTCAAGACCGGGCAGGCACGCATGACGCACGCGAGGCGCAGCAAGCACAACGACGCCTGCCCGTGTCCACCGCGCGCCAACACGACCGCCCAACCTGCCA